TTGATTGCTTGAATTTACAATGTAATTATGAACAAAACATTCAGATATAAGTTGCAATTTTGTTTTGCTGCAGAATAACAAAATTGAGTCATTTTATTCCATCTGTGGATGAGGATGGAAAAACACAAATCATCCCACTTTCCGGGACATGCAAGAGATTCTAGTAATGGTAGACTGAATTGAGTATCAAGGAAGCAGTTGGACCACTAATCCATAGTTGTTTATTCCTCTTCTTGCACAATGCATTAATAGCTGAAGCATTGGAAAGTGGCCAGAGAGATAGTTTGTTTGCCAGAAAATGTACCAATATGCTATTAACAATTTTCCAAAGAACCAAAGGAGACCAGCTGAATAACAAAGCCATACCTGTGGGAACTTCAACTTATGCTTCTGTTGGATTCCTTATGTATGTGTATCTGGGTATGTGGTGTGTGTGTGGTGGGGGGGGAATAAAACATTTGAATTGATTTCCATTCAATGTGTGAATCATAGACTGAGAGAATTTATTTTCTAATCTCCCGTTTATGCTTGTTGTGCCACTACTGCTAGTTACAATTTTATGAGTCATTGTAGAATGATAAATAATATCCCAGAATAAATGTTACTCCATGGTGCAATTTTGTGGATCTCCAGATGGAAATCAATGTGAAAGTGGACGACTTGTCATTCTTTCAGGAAGCTATGCCATCTGCATGTACGTCAGAACTGTGTGCTGTTTGTGGACAAAAGGCTAAGAGCCGTGCAACTATATTGTAAAACAGTTGCAATATTCCTGAACAAACAATACAAATTTTTGCAAAGTCCTTTCTGGCTCTTCTGGTGGACATTTAGGTTCCCATATTACTTGGATAAAAACGCGAGTTTCTCCAGTGTCCCGAACAACAATCCTACAGATTAATAGATCATTCATCTCATGGCTCTATGTCACCTCATGCCTTTTCACCAACAAAATATACAGTCAATTCACTTTACAGTATATTCTGTGAAGAGCTTTGAGACGTCCCGAAGACATGATAAGGCGTTACATCAAATGCAAGGATTATTATTATATGTGAGAACTCGTAGTGTGGAAATTGCAGTACGGCCACATTTTAACATGGTATTGAGGGGTAAAACCACAACCAGCATTATAATGAGGCATGTTTGCCAGTCAGTGCTTCTACATTCACTGTGCATGTGCTCATGGCAGCAGCTAGTGAGAACAAAGATGGTTTCACCAGTATCTTTGCTAGATATCAGGGCCTGACATTTGAGTAAAATGTTGCTGTTCTGTTGGTTCTTGGTTCTGTTAATCTGTGACTAAACTGTTTGGGATAAGGTAAGCAAGTTGTGACCCTCCAGGTAGAGAGTGTAAGCTCCATACCAGACAAATGAAAATTTCTATATATATGAGGAACTCTCAGTAGTTTGATGCAGATGCTTTCTGCATGCATCAGATATAAGATGCCTAAATTAAAAATTATAATAGACCACTAAGAATACCCACTTCATCTTCCTTTGTTTCCAAATATCACATTGAAGTCTAACTTTTAGAATTTTTCATTATCAGAAATAATGTATTATTCGTTTGATAGCAAATTAAATTTTCTGAGTGTCTGATAACAGTCAGGTGCATGAATTATTTATATTTAAGTGGTACTAAAAAGATTAACGGTGCTCAAGGTAGATAAGTCACCCGGTCCGGACTGGATGCATCCTAGGTTACTGAGGGAAGTAAGGGTTGAAATAGTGGTGGCTCTTGTCACAATCTTTCAATCCTCCTTGGATATCGGGGTGGTGCCAGAGGACTAGAGGGATGCAAATGTTTCTCCCCTATACAAAAAGGGGCAAAAGGATAGATCCTAGAACTACAGGCCATTCAGTCTAACGTCAGTAGTGGGGAAAATTTCTGGAGACGATAATCCGGGACAAAATTAATTTTCACTTAGAAAAATATGGGTTAATAAAGGACAGCCAACACGGATTTGTTAATGGCAAATCATGTCTAACAAACCTCGTAAGAGTGTTTTTGATGAAGTAACAGAGAAGGTGGATGAACGTAGTGCAGTTGATGTAGTTTATATGGATTTTCAAAAGGCATTTAACAAAGTGTCACATAATAGACTTGTCAGAAAAATTCAAGCCCACGGTACTAAAGGGACAGTGGCAGCATGGAAAAATAACTCGCTGGGGGACAAAAAGCAGAGAGTAGTGGTGAACAGTTGTTTCTTTGACTGTAGGGAAGTGTACAGTGGTGTCCCCCAGAGGTCGGTCGGTATTAGGACCACTGCTCTTTTTAATCTTATATAAATGACCTGTACTTGGCTGGAGTCCTGTAGCTCAGTGGTTAGAGCACTCGCTTTGCAAGCGAGAGACCTGAGTTCAATTCCAGGCAGGGCAAAACCTTGGGCAAGTTTCCTTACTCCACACGCCTAATAATAATCCCTCCAAAACAATAATAAATTGGTCATTTTCAATCTACGACTGTTTGTGGGACATTGCTGTGCGCAATTGGCTGCCGCGTTCGCCCACAAAATACTGTCAATTCACTTTACAGTGTGTTCTGTGAAGTGCTTTGGGACGTCCTCCTGACATGAAAAGCGCTTTATCAAATGCAAGGATTATTATTATTATTATAGGGAGTACAATTTCCAAGTTTTCAGATGATACAAAGCTAGGAAAAGTATAAATGATGAAGAAATTATAGCAGACTGCAAGAGGACATAGACAGACTGGTGAAATGGGCAGACACATGGCAGAGGAAATTTAATAATAATAATTATAATAATGCTTGCATTTGATATAGCGCTTTTCACATCTTCTAGACATTTCAAAGCGCTTCACAGAATATACTGTAAAGTGAAATGACTGGATATTTGTCGGCGAAACGTGAAGAAATGTAAAGTGACGCATTTTGGGAGGAAGAATGAGGCGAGGCAATAGAAGTTAGATGGTACAATCTTAAAGGAGGTGCAAGAACAGAGAAACCTGGGGGTCCACGTAAGCAAATCTTTGAAGGTGGCAGGACAGGTAGATAAAGCTGTTAAAAAGCATACAGTATACTAGGCTTTATAAATAGGGGCATAGAATACAAAAGTAAGGAGGTTATGATGAACCTTTATGAAACACTGGTTAGGCCTCAGCTACAGACTGTGTTCAGTTCTGGGCACCACACTTTAGGAACGATGTCAAGGCCTTGGAGAGGGTGCAAAAGAGATTTGCCAGGATGGAACCAGGAATGAGGGACTTCAGTTTGCAGAGCGGCTAGAGAAGTTGGGATTATTCTCCTTGGAGCAGAGAAGGTTAAGGGGAGATTTAATAGAGGTGCTCAAAATTATGAGGGTGAACAGGGAGAACCTTTCTCCACTGGCAGTTGGTCGGTAACCACAGGACACAGATTTAAAATAATTGTCAAAAGAACCACAGTGGAGGTGAGGAAAAACTTTTCACACAGCGAGTTGTTCAGATTCTGGAATGCTTTGCCTGAAAGGGTGGTGGAAGATGATTCGATAACAACTTTCAAGAGACAAGTAGATAGATATTTGGGGGTGACAAATTTGCAGGGCTATGGGGGGGATCGCAGGGGAATGGAATTAATTTGGACAGCTCTTTCAAAGAGCCAGCACGGACACAACGGGCTGAATGGCCTCCTGTGTGGTATAATTCTATGATTCTATTCTTTGAAGAGTTGTCTGCAAGCAAAGAATGTGCTTTTGACAAATGCATAACTGGCAGAGCACACCTGAATTATATATTTAAAAAATGGCATATGATTTTCAGCAGCAAAGCATATTTGTTCCTGCACTATTCTGCATAATTTAGTACTTTAGATCAGAGGTTGAGGTTCAACACCAGAAATCAGAGAATTATAGCTACAATAAAAAGAAAGTCGTATTGAGACGTATAACTTAAAGATACCAAATGAATTATGTTCCCATTTGTCTTGTGTTGTTTATTTAACTTATTTCATTTTTATCCAAAAATATACGTTATGTTACTTTATCACAAGCTTCTTCATTTCTCTTCTTTTAATTTAAAATAATGCATCTTTCTTTTAAATATGGGTAACATTTCATAGTGTATTTTTAGATAAAGTTAAAGCAAGCTCCTCTTCATGATTTTGAGTTCCTAGTCTAGACTCCAATGCCTTCCTATGCATGCTCTCCTGGATTGTCGGAGGTGCCATTTTTTAGATGAGTTCGAGGTCCCGTCTGCCTGTTCCGGTGGATGCTTTAAAGATCAAATGGCACTAATTCAAAAAGAGAAGGGTATTTCTCCCAGCGTGTTGGTCAACAACCCCAGATAAAAATTGTTGATTCACTTCGTGGCTGTTTGTGGGACATTGTGTATTTTGCAGACAAACAGGGGCACAGCTGTCACTACATTTTACAGTAAATCCTCAGAAACATTTTGAGATGTCCTCCTGACGTGAAAGATGCTTTATTAAATCCAAGGATGATTATTTATTATAACACTAAATTCAGGTTAGGCTTTTAATATCCATCTTTCCATAACTATGGATATTTTCAAGCTATTCTACTCATTCCTATAACTTCTGGGAATTGAAATTCCAATTGATATGTTGACATTTAGCAATTAGCACAGAAAATCTCATTAGAGGCTTAAAAAGGAAAACAGTTCTCCCTGTTTACCCTCATAATTTTGAACACCTCTATTAAATCTCCCCTTAATCTTCTCTGCTCCAAGGAGAATAATTCAATAGAATTACAATACATTGTCCACCAGAATTTCAGCCCTCTGCTGCTCTTTGGAGTAGAAGTACATTCTGTAGAAGTTCTTTGAAACATCTCAATGACGTGGTAAGTCCTATATCAAACACAAATATTATTATAAGTGAAAAAATGTTCATCCCCAAATAAAATTCTGAAGACTTTTAAGGAAGCATAATTTACTTTTTTTTTGTGTGTTGAGAGTTCATTGATCACCATAATGTCTGATAAGATTAATTACAAATTGTGTTCTTTGTGAATCCCTCATCTTTCTTTCCTTTTCTGATATAGGATAAAGATCTGATCATGACCTTCAACATTTCTATGCATCGTTCTTGGTGGATGGAGAATGGACCAGGATGTTTGGTAACCACTATGACCAATAATCCAGATTGGGTACCGGAGGATCACCGCTATATTTATATCAGAGGGTGTCTACTAGAGTATCAATATGTAGAGGTGATGCATAGTTCCCTACAAGTCATCCTTGCAGTAAGTACCTTCATCGCCTTTTAGTGAGCTATTTTAGCGTAATGTGAATTTATAATATCATGTTATTACATAGAAAATCCCACCGACATCAGTAACATTGGACCTGGGACCAAAGGTTCCCATCCAGGAGGTGATGTCTAACATTCTGTCAGGACAGCTGTGGTCCTGGAGTCAAGGGTGGAGGCAGAGAGATAAGAGTTGGGTGTCATCCACATACATGTGGAAGTTGACCCCATGTCTGCGGATAAATCTCAAAGAATAGGGTGCCCAAGAAACAGAAAATGAAATCTTACCAACACGTGAGCTGCATAGCAACAACAACAGCAACTTGGATTTATATAGCACCCTCCACGCCGGACGGCGTCTCAGAGCATTTCACAGTAACGGATCCCGGGGCCGAGCCAGGGGGAGGGGGAGGAAGGTGACCAAAGGCGCGGTCGAAAAGAAAGGTCTTCAGCAGAGACCTGAAAATAGGAAGAGAGGGAGTGAGGAGAAGGGAGTGAGGAAGGGAGTGAGGAGGGCAACCATTATCACATTGCGTTATGTAACAACTGATCAGTAGCCATGATGATGTGTTAAATATATAGTCAAAATCAAAACTTAAATTATTTAAGATATTATCTCCAGTTTATGTCTCTTGCACAATTGGTGTAGATAAGTCCAATATAAGTATCTGTGTAAAATTCCTGAGACATTTATCAGTATTACAAAACTGTTTATATTACTTTCAGTCCAAATCCATAAAATGAACTTGAAAATGTTTGATAAAAGGATGGTGGTTTGTCACTCAATTACCTTTCTGGGGACAGAGAAAAATTACAAGATAGGGAGTCAATAGTTTTTTTATAATAAGATAGAACCTATGGGGGTCCAGTATGAGTGACCATTCATTCATAGACAAAATGTCCTTTAAATCATGATATTACTTCTTATGTAGACGGGATAAACCCACTTGCCACTATGTTTGAAGATACTCCAAGTTTTTCAGTGAAAATAATGATATATTTGATATATTTGAAACAAAAACAGAAGTCGCTGGGAGCACTCAGCAGGTCGGGCAGCATCTATGGAAAAAGGAAAGTATACATATTTGAATGCTGTTAATTTATACTCTGCTCCTGGGATTTCGCTTTGTGATTTATAGCAAACTAGGGGGAAAAAGAGCATAGGTCAGCAGTTTGAATATATAAGTCAACAGTTTCTGAAAATACTCTCCACAATAACATTGTTTAAAAAAAAGTTAACAATTCAATTTATTTCCAACACCTTTCACTATGAAAATCTATTTTATGCCATATTGTATATACATCAGCAAATTATCTTGCAACTGTGAGACAGCTTTAATCATACACAGGGGCATCCCTATGATTTGGAACCTGGGTATTTTCTTCCTGATATGTAGTTATTACACATAACTTTTTTTTTGACGGGTGTGGAGGGGGAAAGATTGAATTACGCGTTTCCACCAATCTGATGAACTCATACAAGTTCTAATTGGATCCTTTCCGAGAATTCCAATACCAGCCCATTAATGTTGTTTAGTTTTGCAACGCTGCATTTTGCTCGTGCTTTAAATATTTAGTAAGTTTGATTCAAGAGCTGCTCAATGGAAAACTACAGAGAGGGCTTGATTTTATGGAAAAAGTGGTTTTATGGAAATAAGGATCCATCCAGGCTAAAGGGATTGTAATCTCGAGCCCTACCAGTCGCTTCACTGATATTCTCTTGGTATGAATACCCTTATGATAACTCGAACCATTGGCATCAAAGTTAAATGTGGATTTTTTTATTATATGTACACACACACTTAAGAATTTGCCTCGTGGATTTCTATCATCTGTTACTGTACACTCACTCTAAACTTACAGTGTGGGAGAAAAAATTGTGATCTATGATGTGTTAACTGGCACATAATTTTAAAAAATGCAACCAACAAGATCAGGCCATAAGTAGACATTGAAAGGTTTATGGTTTTGGCCATCCTCCACTCTTATCAAATGGTTCAGCCTAAATCCCTCAGTTTCACACATTGGAGTTCATAATCTTGGCACGCTGGTTAACTAGAAACTTGCGGCATCAGCCTGATGTCACAGAATTTACCCATTTGGGCTTCCTGTGTGCCAGCCAGTGTTCTGAATTGCTGATGAGGCTGACTGTGCACAGTTTGGATTTTGGGGAAAGTAAATATTAGGGCCCAAACCCCAACCATGGTATAAACTGTATTCTAATCAAACTCATTACGATCAGGTTGAACTGTATTTCCTGGTGTTTGCCCTACAATTGGCCTTCACAACACTGAACCGCTTTTCCTGCTGCCTTGAAAAGTACTTATGTTGCTGCCCTATCAACTAGAAGTGTACATGGTATTCCAAGTCCAGCTGGACTACAGCATTGTACACCTTGAGCATTATGTTTGCCTTGATTAATGCTGCCACACAGTGTTTCAACTTGATAAGCAAAGAGATCAAAGACTCTTTGATATTGTTCAGTTTCTCTCTTGGCAAGTTCTATCCTATCCATTGAGTGTATGTACTTTTCATTTGTACTTCTTTAAATGCAGTACGTTGCATTTTTCTGCATTGAAATTCATTTCCCAGTGATCAACGCAGGTGTATTCCCTGTCAAGCTCTTTTACAAATTTAGTGACCGTTCTTCTATTTATTACAATTAATGCAGTTTACATAACAAAAAAAGTCTAAAATTAATTTGATTTGGTTGGTGAGGTGCGAAGAGGAGAGAATCCCTCCTGTTGCTTGTTTTAATGTTACTCGGAGACCCTCTGACTCGCGCCCTTCCTTTCCTCCTCCCTGCCTCCCTCCCTCACTCAAGACCCGTCTCACGACGTACCCCTTTGATTGCGCTTTCCCCTCCTGGTACTCTTTGGCTCACACTTTCAGCTTGAGTGCACAGGCAGCAGTGTCAGGCACTGTGAGGTGTGCTCTCGATGTGAAAGGCACTGTATAAATGTGAATTTTATTGTATTAATCCTCACTTTGCCATTTTCACACACCTCAGAGAATTTAATCAAACATAAAAAAAATGTTTTGTACATGAAAGCTTTCTCCCACATGACTAAACTCTGAAGCTTGAAGAAAACAGTGAGTGCCACCCAAAATTAATGGAATTCTAAGTTATGTAGTGACATACATTTCCCAAGTAGTCCTTAAATGAACTGTACAAGGGAGTGACTGCGAGTTGATCAAATCTTGATGATCAGATGTTGCACATAAACCAGTCAAGCATTGCTCTTGTGGTTTATCAAGTTGTGCTATTACATCACAAGGGCATTGCAGAGTTGGTTTAATTAGAATATATAGCTCCACAACACCCTGAGCTGCCAGTTCTGTCACATTTGTCCAAAGGCGACACTCAAACAAATGTGGATATGTGAATTCACACATGCACAATTTTAAAGTTGCATTCAAGAATTTTATCTTCTAGGCATAGCCCATTCCTAGTCTCTGGGGATGATGTACACAGGCCAGTGATATGTGAACTGCAGTCAGACTGAAAATAGCATCTGGCACTACCAGAGGCAGTGGGACACATCCTTTACATTGTTATTCCATTAACCTTACAGATCTGCATTCATAGAATCATAGCAATTTCAGTCTAGGAGATGGTAGCCATTCAGCCCATCGCTCCTCCACCCTAAATGCAATTCTCCAAAATATTTCCAAGAAAGTCTCTTGTCTTATCTGTAGTAGAAGAGAACCATATAGTTGGCAAGCAGTGATACTCTGGGTTTCATTATTCTCTTTTGCACTGAACATTCAATTTGAAATGACTAATACAGTACTGCTGTAAACAGTTTCTTTGATGCTAGTGGCAACATAACAGACAGAAATAGTGACTAAATTACAACAACAGCTTGCATTTATGTAGCACCCTTCACGCAGGATAGTGTCTTGAAGCACTGCAACCTAAAATGTTCTTTAAACCTAAATCCATACAGACACTTTTTTTGGAAAACTGGATTAAATAATTTTCAAATTGAGTAGTTTTTATTCCTATCTATGTGTTTCTGCAATGCATGTATTTTGAGTTGTTTCTTGGTAATGAAAGGATGTAACTTGAGCTCAATGGGAGCAATAGCTACATGAGAATTGGCATTTTACATGCTGGGTTTCCGACATAAGTGCAGAGTAAAAGCAGTCATGTAAGTAAAATATGAGCTTGGTGATTGATTGTCCATTTCCCTGATTAAAAAAAACTGCAGGAAAATTATTCAACTCTTTTAATTTCATGAAATGTTGATGTTTCTCAGGAAACAATTTAATTCTAAAAGTCAGTCTATTCTGAAAATGTCCCGCTTCATGAGTGCTGCCCATTTACAAACATACTAGCAATGTTTTTAGATGACACTGGTTATTCTGAAGCGAATTAAGAATATGTGAAAAGCTGTGACAATGTGCAGATAATAATATAATTACAGCAAGTCTCCAGAGTAGCCAGTTATTCTACTACATCAGGTTTTTAGTTAAAGGAGCAAAAGTGATTTACAAATGTACATCTCTTACATTTGTACCATGAAATAAGCTTGCTATAGATAAAATTAGCTTGATTATTGGCAGAGAAATTAAATCTGCATTGTTCACTCGGTGACCTGTATATTTAAATAGCAAATGCATTTGTTCTTTCTTAAATGTTAGCTACAGTGTGTAAAATAGAGGGCCATAAATGTTACTTCCTGTTCACCCAAAATGCTCTTGAAGAATATGACAATAATAATTCACATTAGACTGCCACATTATTTCAATTATTGAAAAATGATTTCAATATAACAAAATTGTGCCCACCAAATCTCCTTTCTTTATTAAGAGAGATTACCTAATATGGCAACCCTTTTGAATGTCCCTAATGTATTTTCCTTACGCTACCCTGCCACATCATTAGAAACATCAACCAGCTTTGGAAAAGATGGAGAGAAGTGTGACAAAACTGCCTCCCACTCTAATAATAATAATCCTTGCATTTAATGTACATCAACAACAAATTGC